CCTGTTCGATGGTGCTCTTCTTCGGGAGCTTTTTCATGATGCTGCCTGTGACTTGGACAAAACAGTCGAAACAGGCAGGAAACATATTTGTTAAACTTTGCGCTGAGTCCTGAGTTGAGGCACTAAAGGACCTGGACATGCAAGGACATTGAAGCAGTTTTTTTGTGGAATACTTTTGCAAGGACATCACGGACGTTTGCAACAGTACTTTGCGAAAGCCCTTGTTTATTTGTATCACTATGTCAGAACTGTCCACTGGGGTGAAAAACACCCTTTGTGACGTCGCACCACGTTGTCCCTTCGGTCCGTCGGCCCGTCAGGTGACCACCATGTCCTTTAACCAGAGTTGGGGACCCTTTGGACTCATCGTGCGCGCCTTGGGCGCCTTGCTGTTCGTCTTCATCGCGGGCACCTTCATCTCACTGGCTCTGCGCGCGTATTTCCGCTCGGTGGAGAGGCTCCTAGAGGAGCTGCGCAACATCAGCGTGGAGAATTGCAGGCTTCGTCTTCGAATGCGAATCGATGCGCTTGGAGCGGTGGTGCGGTTTTCCTTATAGACTTAACAATCAAACACAGCCACACAGCCCTGTTTTTGGGAGCAAAAAGGTGTTTAAGAGTGCGGTATGTAGAGAGAAGAACTTGGAGTGTTCGAGAAGTTGCATTGCTCTTGGATGGTTTGCCAATGTTTGCCATAGCAGGTGTCAAGGAATTTTGGACGACCTCAGATACAATCCAACCCTGCATGTTGGAATGATTCATGTGCACATGATGGTTCCAATCCCCACAGTTGCCACTTTACATCCGATGATGCATGATCGTCAACTTCAGAGTGATTTTTCTGAAGCATGAGCATGGCCATACATGCGCATGGTTCAGACGCCATGGATTGGAGTGCTTTAAGTCTTGCAGGGACCCTTTTGGGGATTGTGGACCACGGATGAAGCTCATGGTTTTGGGTGGTCGCACTTGACACTCTGTGACGCAGCATCGACATCCGACCTTTGCGACAATGGGAGGTGGCGCCGTTGTTTCTGGGAGAACTGGCTAGGCGAGTCTGGGGATTATGGCGAATTCACCCCCACAAAGGGGTAGTGGTGTCAGATATTCTTGATGTTTAACCCCTTTGGGGATGATGAAACCCAACTGAAAAGAACACAAAACACGTCATTGCATGAGGTGTTTTAAAACCACCAACCAGATTCTCCATGATTCTCCAGATGGATGGACACCGATGGACACGCACGCGCCCCCGAAATCGCCATGGAACGGCCACAGAACGAGCATTCCGCGTCGCTGGCTTCGCCTCGCGTCTTCCGCGTTTGGCACGTTTCGCATCGTTGTCAGGTGTGCCTGCTGTGATTTGGATCATACAATGGATGGGGCGAATCTCTTGTGCGACCGGGAGATTGTGAAGGAATGTGTGTCGATTTGGTTTCTGAGATTGAGAAGACAGGGACAAAACAGGGGACAGGACTTCGATACTTTGGATACTTATAGCACATACCTGCAACCTCGTGTTTTCTTTTTTTTTTTAAATCGGTGGTTCAACATACCGCATACCTTTATTTATAGGTTTGTGAACCACATAAACATCCGCAGCCGAAATAAACATCCGCTTAAAACACATGTTCGGGAAAAAAAGCCTTTGGCTCACCAATAAACGCCCTTAGCTTGTGTATAAATGCCCGTGGAATATCAGAAAAAACAAAAAAAGAGAACACTAGAGAAACATCCGCAGACTCAGATATAAGGCTGTGACTCCAAAATATGCCACGCCGCAGATCACACAATTGCACTCTGAGGAAGTTCCATGTGCTCACGCAAATCATCGCAAACAGACCATGTGCAGTAACATATGATATATATATAGTATAGTTAATGGATGCAAAAGAGACACCACAACCAAAACAAACAACAACGGGTGATAGTGGCCTGACAGTAGATGGGCGCAAATGTCCACGTTCGGTGGTTTAGTAGTGGACCTCCATCCCAGTAGTAAACCAATCTGAGACACCCCATGATCAAATTAACATGATCCATGTTGGCTAACCATCCATCATGTTCCCCCAAAAAAAACAACAGGAAGATTGCATATACCCAGTAAGTCTAAGTATGTGCAAAGGATACCCCTGAAAAATATCTCTGGCTATATGGGAAGACACGGTGCCCCGACCGCTCGATCTGCAGGTTTGGGAGCCTCGAGGCCTTCGAAGAATCCATCCGTTCCTCGGCTTCGGTGTGCGTCCTGTGAGAGAGGAGGTGTGCGTCCTGCATGGGACTGGGGGACTATAGGATCTATCTATCCATCTATATAACAGTACATATATATATATATTAACAGATGCCTAGATGGGGCAGAAATGTCTGCCTATGATGGGTAAAGGTGCCTTTGTCCGTGCTTAGGCGTTCATGCCCCCTGTAAGGCGTTCTTGTTTTTTTGGTGGCAATGCTAAAATAGATGAGGATCCACCCGCCACTGGTTTGGGGAACTTCCACTGAGCTTCTTTGGCTCCACTCGATCATGCGATCATCGAACCATGCTATTCTATTTGTAAACCCTGCCGTGCAATCCCTGCCGTGACAACCGTGACATCGTTCGAAATTGAAACTTAACATAATGCATCCTGGCCCATCTCTCCCAGCCATCCCCCCAGCCATCCCCCCAGCCATCCCCCAAATCCACCACCCTGACATCGGCAGTTCACATGTTCACATGTTTTTACATGACATTCCTGTGAACGTTTTCCCATCCAACCTTCTCAATGATCCGAACACCAACATGGAAATCGTCATTGAACCATGTCGTACGACAACCAGTTGGTACCAAAAAAGAACTTGCTTCCATATTCGCCCCCCTGTAACCACAACGTTTCTGATGATTCCAGATCCAAGTGCCAGCTTGGCCCGGCCCTGCCTTGCTCCCCTAGCCTAATTGGTGCTTTGAAACCACTGGCCGGACTCCTCCCCCACAGCGAGCATCGATCGACAACTCACGGAACCGCTCGCCGGGGGCTCAGGCTCCGAGCTCTCAGACGCCATGGCCACGGGTCTGAAAGATCGCGTCTTCACCCGAGGATGGCGCCTTGAGCTTGGTGGTTTGGTAACGACGACGATGCTGTACGCCGGTTAAGACAAAAAGCGAACAAGTTTTAAACAGAGAAATGAATCTATAATGATCTATATATAATTCTATAAAGGTGGACCATGCTTTGGGATTATTCATCAATGGGAAGATCATGGTGACCTTTGGTGACCAATTGATCCATTCTTATCCATTCTTTGGGGTCAACAATCGGGGTCAATGTCCACACCGCTTCCAGTTTCATGGAGTGGTCGAGTTTTCACCATGGGACCACGCGGCCTTTTCCACGTCCGTCTTTCTTTCCAATGAGCAAGAGGGAATGTCAAGGTCACCTGGGGTCTTTCTGTCCACCGGGGTCACCGTCGTTCGGGCCGTTCGGGCCGAACGCCTCATTCTCAGGTCCTCCGTTCGCTTCGAACCGACAGGGTGTTTGACCAGAGTCCCGGTGGATCACGAAAACGCCGAACGCTATGGACTTGATCTCACACTATTTGTAGCGCTGCTTTTCATGCCACGCTTTAGCCAACAAGAGGGGAAATAAAGTCAGACTTGACACATGGACTTGGTTCGAGCTCCGATGGGAAGTCTTTTGGGACCAGACTTTTGGTCTCACATCAGGCGAGCGAGCGACGCATGTGCAGGTGCAAAGAGGTGGCAGGTGCCGTGGTATGGCGCTGTAAAGAAAAAGAACCGCGCAGAGTTGAACCTCGTCGCTCCGGCTGGAGCTGAGGAGCCTATCAGTGACCACTCCCATCCTTTGGGCCTATTTTGATGTAGCGGTCTCTTGGGCTGCTGCAGGCGGGGGGCGCGACCGTCGACGGTCGACGGTCGGACGTTTGCCAATGGAGCCGATCACGTCGTTCATCGACGTCCAGGAACAAGCGGATCAAACGAGAAACTCTGACATTGATTGCTGCAAAAATGCTGCAATGCTGCAGTTTTTCATTTTTTTTAATGATAATGGTGAAACACAGGTGTTTTCATGGAATTGGTCAATTTGTGGGGTTCATCTTCGCTTGGAGGAGATGTGCTTTGGTTCTTTCTGATCCTGCTGGATGGCTGGGTGCTTTGGTTTCTTTGCGGACCCATCTACGCGGACTATTTGACCTTCATCATGTGTCGTTACTGCCGAAGAGCAAGGTCGACATGTGGAGAGATCCTGAAGAACACGGGGATTGTTCTTTTGGGATCGGGTGGTTTTCTGGTGATCGCTGGAAGCTATGTCCTTTGCCAGGGCTTTATACCTTTTGAAAAAGAGTGGTATGGTGCTGCAGTCTTCGGGGGCTCCTGGCTGACTGTGGCCACGATTCATTTGCTCTACAAAGTTTCACGCAACAAGTCTCACAGCGCTCGTCGATATCGCCTTGGCATTCGTAGCTGACCTGATTGGTAGTGGATACGCATGAAAATTGACGCAGTGACTGCGCTGGAGCCGAAGCAGCCTACCTAGGTGCAGTAGTGAAGGTGAAATCCACGGTAGCCAAACGTGGTCTGGTATAGGGCTTTTGGAAACTCCAGAGGACCCACCCCATGAACTGGTTGACTTCCCCAAAGTCAACACTTCAATTGCATGTTCTTCTGTTGTTTTGTCCAAGAAAGCCAGCACTTGTCAAGAAAGCCGCCCAAAACAAACATCGTGGCTGCGCAAGCTGGTTCTCCCTCAAAAAAAAGGGTCAGCCACCTTTAAGACCTGCCACCCACCCAGTGTCATTTGTGTGCGCCGTTTGACCCGCCAAAACCAGCCCAAGCACTTGCCAACGGAAAAAATTACATATTGATAAGTCACTTGGCAGACCTTCCGAAGATTCCTGCAAACCGGTTGGTTAGACTGAACCGCTTGAGGTTGCTTGATGTTAGCTGGAAACGCTGAATTGCTGAACCACGGAACCCCACAAACTGCCCCCTCCGCAAGCCCAAGGCCCGACAAGACCGAACGGAGATTGGTCGTCCGGTGACCTTCTACCTGGAAGGAAGGCCTCGCACGAGAGCGGGAGAGGTCGATGGCGCTTCGCACCAGCGGTGCGGAGTGCGGATTGGGCGGTGCGGATGGCGGACGCCCAAAGAACTGAAGACCACTGGCTTGTTTGACCACATCAACCACCTAATAAACTAAGAAGTGTGTGACACATCTCGAGCCTTTTTCCACTGAATATTTCCAACATTATCTTCCCGGCCAGGCCTGAGCAGTACTTCGGACGTGTACGTGGTGTGGAGAACGGTGACTTGACAGCAACTAGAGTGTCAGATGCTTGGGTTGAGAAGGAAGCATGGTTCTTTCTGCCGAGAAACAGGCGGATAGCTATGGATTGCTTAACAAACCGTATGTGTTTTTTGCTGTGTTGCGTTTCATGAATATATAATGTACTACAGTTATATAGAATATATAACATAACTCTTTCATACGACACCACCTGAACTTTAATGTTGAAAAGACAAATATGTTCCGCATATTTCAGGAACACACCAGGTGTTGCATTTTCTTTACCTCAAGGCATGAACTCCGTCCTTGAGAAACTCTACTCTCGGCTCGCGGATTCGTGCTCGATCAGGGACTGTCGGGTGGACGTTGCTGAGGATCTAAAGCCGGCCGTCGAAGCCGTAGGAAGCCTAACGAGCCTCCGGGCAGCCAGCGTGTGTGGCTGCACAGCTATTTGGCTCACCTTAAATTGGACTCAGCGAAGAGAAATCACACGGGAGAATCACACCGGAAGGGCTTTTTTTAATCTTTGGGATCAACAAAGTGAATATCTCAGAGTTTATACCTAATTCTCTCTGTGCCTTTTATTTTGCATGTTTTTGCCAAGTCACCATTTTAGGTTAAGGTCTTTTAGTGGATTCATACTAGTGTGTTAGGTTCTTCACACCAAGGATCAATTGTAAGCTATCTTATATTTCCCGTGGTATGTTTTTTTGCACTGCCTCGTCGTCATGCTGCTAGTCATTCTGTGTCATTATATGTGTCGTGTGTTTGCCATGTTTGTTCCACAATCATATATAATGTGCTTGATTGAATATTTGCCTGTTGGTGCTTTTTGTTCCATCGTATAGCCTCATTTGATTTGTGGTAATGGCTGTTTCACATTTCACAAGTGAACAAGTGTAATGGAAAGGCAAACTAGGCAAACCAATTCAACAACTTGCAGTATATGCAGTGATTCTACAACTTAGGCTTGAGCAAAGCATGCATATGTTTAAATTTATCATGTGTCTTGGTGCAGGATCAAGTGACCCTTTTGACACAGACCAAGTAGAAAGTGGCGTTAAATAAATACACAATATGGTTGAGCAATGCTCCACATATATGCTCCACACAGGCTTCTCTCAATTCTGGAAGTGTTTTCCATCCAAGATGATCTAAATGTTGTAGGGAAAACATAGGAAAACTATTATTGTTTTATTGAAGAAACACATATTGAATGAATGCGACCATCGTAGACAAAGGAACATCCACAATGGAGATGATATGCTCGTACATTGTGAGGCCCCACAAAGGGTCAACCGTCATTCATGAAGGATGAGATGTTCAAGTAGTATTGCCTACAGTTCTTTGGAAGGAATATGTTTTTGTCAGGATCAGGTATGGATAGAGGACGGGACTCCCATATAGAAGAAATGTTCGTTGAGGCTTTTATGGACGAATATACTTTCTAAAAATAGAGATCAGTTTGTTAAGAGAAAACATCTGAAATCAAATATTTGCGGAAGGAATAGAATAGGTGTACTTCAAGAAAGGGAGGCTTATTCAAATTGTTGAAAACTCTCGTGCAAGGGCTGCAAGGGTTCCTTTCTAACGGAGATCTTTGCACAATAAAGGAAGCTATTGGGTATGCAGGCGCAACAAAAACGAGGCATGGTAGCCTCGCATGTGGAAGCTGGTCCGGCAAAACAAACTATCGGCACGCACCACGTACTTCGTTCTATCCCGCTCGACGTGGACGTTTTCTCGACCGAGGTCGCTATTCGGTGGACGTGGTGGGCGGTGGCCGAAAGGCGGCCAACTGGGGAGACGAAAAGGCGGTGAACAGGGGTCTCTGTAGCCCGAAGAGTTGCGGCCCGACGGTTGATGAATGAAAGCGGATGAAAGCGGCTTTATACTTCTCCATATGGAGTGCTGAGTGCTGATCAACAGTCTACATGGAGTGGCCAGTCTACATGGAGACTCGCACGTTGGGTTCCCTGGATTGCTGGAGGTCTTTGACTGAGTTGCATTTGGTGACCAGTCGGAGAGTGACACTTGTTGAAGTGCTATGGCTGGGGATGGACTGGATGGACCGGTGTTGCTGAGTTTAGGACCTAAGGCCGGGTGTATAATTGGTTAAACTTGAGGTGTATCATTTGGAACTCACTATACAACCTATCTATACAAACTGGTGTTTTGTGTCCATTCTGCAAGCGTGGTATTTCGGAAAACGAAACCCTCTCTCGAACCCGTATCGTTCTGTCGATGCTCCGTTTTGTTCTCAAGCTCTTTCAGGGAGGGCACCCCATGCCGCCGTGCTCCAATTGCGGTCGAGTGTACTTTGTCGACCCGAGTGGAGCTTGCCGTGGTTGCATTGCCCTGAGGAGGTTGTCAGGAGAGTTGAGATTTGTGCCCATCAACGAGGTGGACGCCTCCTTGACCGTCTACCTACTCGAGACTTGCCTCCATACCCTCGAGTACCTCAGGGACATTGCCCACGCCCAAGCTGACCGTGCAGAACAAGAACGCCAAGGCCGGGCAAGGAGTGGCTTGGGGCTTTCCTCGAACAGGAGGAGCGAGAGAGGAGAGACGGTCAGCACAGGTGAAACTTCAGTTGTGAGCCGGCGTACTGAGGGTGCCAGGTGCGCTGATCAAGGCCAGGCTGAGAAAGGAGAGCGGACAGAGGCTGAGAAGAGCAGGAGGAAGGAGGCCAGAGGTGATGAGGAGAGAGACCGAAAGAGGCGCAGGCGGGGCTGAGGCGGAAGAAGGCTTTGGAGAGTTCTCCATTGAAGATTCTTTTCGATGGAGTTTGATGCAAGTTCAGCCAGGCGTGGTTGCTATCGCTTCAGTAGAGGTAGATGGAAAACCTGTGGAAGCCCCGCTTTTCATTACAAAAAGGTGGGTCGAGTCGGATGGAAGTGTCACGGCCGAGTTCACTTCTTTGGGGACCGAGGATCCTCAGACCTCCAGAAAGTTGACTCAGCTCTCCAAGAATCTCAATTTGGTTCACTTTTGCATGAGTCCCAGTAGTCAAATCCCTGGAAATTTCCTATCCCATGTTCAGAAGGTTTTTCTGGTGAGAGGAGAAGAGATGAATACAGACCTTCTAGGGCATTCAGGACAAAGAAGGTGGAGTCAGCTTTGCATGGAACACTTGGGAATAGATGTTTCCGCGACCATCGAACAACCCCCTTCCAGAGAGAAGAAGGCCGCAGATGCTCCCAGGAAGGGGGCCCTGAGGAAGCCAGCCGCAGAAGTGAGGAAGAGATCCATCAACGAAGGCGACGAGACACCAGGCTCGGGAGGCCGGCGAGATGGAGACAGACCTGGAGTGAGCTTTGCAGATCAGGATTACGAGGTTCCGGAGGAGCCTTTGCGAGAAGAGAAGGATCGTTCCCGTCAGAAAAGGCAGAGAAAGGAAAGTGGGGAAGTTCGAGCCTCCTCCAAGGGGGATGCACCAAGCTCCATGGGAGAAGCTTTAGGAGACCTAAGGAAGGAACTTGCAGAGCAGTTGAGGCAGGAGTCCGAGGAGGCTGCAGCGGTTGGTTCAGGGTCTACTCCAAGGCCAAGGACGTCAAGCTCTGCAGTGGAAAAGAACCCCCGGCAGGCTCCATCGCGGATGAGCTTGGCACTTCAAGAACCCCCTGCCGCGGTGAGCACACTTTTAGATTCGAGCCACGAGGAGCGAAGAGGAGGTTCTATGAGCGGCAAGAAAGTGAAGAGTGCCAGAGAGGAACTTGTTGCTGCGGCCGCCTCAGCTTCAGGGGACAGTGCATCTGCGCATGGGAGGAGGTCCAAAGACAAGAAGAGGAAGCGTGGCCGGGACTCCAAGATCATTCAGGCCTTGAGGACCGCCATTGCAGGCAAAAAGAAGAAGAAAAAGAAAAAGAAGAAAGGAAAAGGATCAGGCGCAGCGGGAGGAGACCCGCCAGACAGCAGTGGAGGAAGCGAGGACTCAGATGGCTCAGATTCAGGAGATTCGGAGGACGAGAGTTACAGCGACACTTCAGAGGAGAAGTTGAGTCGGAAGTTCAAAGCACCACTGAAGAGAAAAGCAGAGAGACGGGCAGGGAGTGTCGCCGAACTTCTTCTCGCGCAAATAGCTCAACAGCTGCAGGAGCTTCATGTGGATCAAGACCAACTCTTGACGGCCGGGCCCCGAGTGACCAGCTATTGGCAAATTACTCTTCGACCCCGCCATGGGGCCTTCGCACCAGCGATGAGGGAGCTCTTCCTGCTGGGGAGCGTGATCGACAAGATCAGATCCGGCCATCTCCTGGCAGCGCTGGACTATTTGGCAGGGCGCTTTATGGCCGTAGAATCGGCGATCACCGAGGGCTGGACCATGGCCCGATTCCTCGAGGTGTGCACGCCAGAAGAAGAACAAGTGGCTCCGGCCGAGCTTCAACTACAAGCCCGGCGTCATGGCCAATTGATAGCTCGTGCACACGGCAACGAAGGAAAAGGCAAGGGAACCGGCAGCTTCAGGCAGTGGGCTCCCTACGGAGGAGGGGGCACTCCCTGGCGATGGCAGAAGGGCGAGAAGGGAGACAGAGGCAAGAAAGGAGGAAAAGAGAAGAAGGGGGGCAAGGAAGCCAAGCATGCAAAAGGCGGAGGCAAAGAGGGCCACAAGGCCGAGGGCGGCGAGGAGAAGTGAGGACAGAGGCCGAGACGGCAGCAGATAATTCGAGGAATGATTGCATGAGAGGTTCTGAGGTACAGAGGAGAGGAGAAGGCTTGAGTTGTGCTGGCTCCCCCTCGGAGGCAGAGATCTCGGGGGGGTTTGAGATACAGCATACAATGGCTGGATTGCTGAGGGAGGATGCGAAAGAGGCTTTTATGACTGCGCCCAAAGGATGCGAGGTCAGAGAGGCTGAGAATTTAGAAGGACTGAGGCTGCAGAATGAGTGGCTACCCTTGAGGCTGATGGATGACGGTGCCAGAGGAGAGAAGGTGGCTGACCGGCTCTGCGAATGCTCTTCGCTGGGATCGCTGGGGGTAGGCCTAGCGTGGGTCGCTTTTGAAGGCCATCGCTCGGGGCTTTGCAAGGCCTGGCTCTGGCAGAACGTGAACCGTTTCCTGCAAAAGAGTTTCTGCGAGCAGCTCGGGAAGAAGTGTCGTTCGCTTTTTCCCTTTCCGAACGTTTGGAAAAGGTTGGAAGAAAAGTTGAGGGGTTCTTTGTTTGACGACATTTTCTTTGACTCGTTTTGGGGACAAGATGACTTCGTTGATGCTTGGACCTTTCTTTCGGTAAAGTTCTGCCAGCAGCTTCACGGGAGTGACCTGGGGTTTCGTGAGGGACCGCTCCGGAAGGAACAGAGAGCATGCCTTCGAACGATCGACCGTCGGGTTAGGTTGCAGTTGGTAGGAGATTTTGGGCATCCACGGTGGGGGCCCACTCAGATCAAAGATGAGCTGGCTAGCAAGGACATAGGCTATGGGGGCGAAGAGATAGGTAAGGTTGAGAAACTTAGCCTCGAGCAGATCATCCCCTCTCTACCAACACCTGAACGTGGAGGCTCTATCCGACTGGAGGATTGGTTGAGTGACTCGACTAAAGAACTCTTGAAGGATCCCTACAAGTTGATGATTGGTGACACTGGACAAACTCTTCCCAAGTTGAGAGGGCGGATACATGTAAAAGAAGGGGAGAAGGTACAGGTTGCTCAACTGTTGGTAGCGCGGAACGTCTGCACGTGGAGAAGAGCCTCTGAGACATTGCACTACCGTGGGCAGCCGGTTCGAAATGGGCTATTCGGCGTTGTGAAGCCAGGGAAGATGGTGAATCAAAAACCGATTCTTAGGGTAATCATGAACCTGGTCCCAACAAATTCCCTGTTCAAGATCATTGCTGGTTCCGTTCACAGGCTCCCCTCTATAACGCAGTGGAGCACCTTGTTCATAGGAGAAGGTGAAAAAGTTGAAATCTGTCAATCAGATATTACGTCAGCTTTTTATCTTTTCCTTTTACCAGAAGCATGGCAGTGTATCCTCCCCTTCAACGTGGAGATTGATGGCAGCCTGCTAGGAGAGGGCTATGAAGCTGGAATTAACTATGTGCTTTGCGCTAAAGTCCTACCTATGGGATGGCACAGTGCAGTGGGGCTCATGGAGGAAGCCGCTGAACGATTGCTGCTAGATAGCGGGCTGTCAGAGAAGAGCGTCATAAATCGAGTGACCAAGTTGCCAAAGGGTTTCACTGACATACTTCCTCATGGAGAAGGTCAAGCTGAACCTTTTTGGCATATCCATCTAGACAACTTTGCCTGTGGCCAGCGAATTAAGGGCGAGCTTCTGTCGACGAAAGGAGGAGACCTGCACCGACAAGCAGAGGGAGGCTGGAATGCTAGAGGCGTTGTGACAGCGGCCGACAAGAGCACTCATCGTGCCACTGAAGCTCTGGAGTTGGGAGCAAAGATTCATGGAGGAAATGGATGGCTGGGGGTAGAGAGCCACAGGCTGCTTAGAGTGCTGAAGTTAAGCCTGTGGTTAGCTTTCAGACCAAACCTCCGGAAGAAGTCCTTGCAGATTTGTTTAGGCAGGTGGATGCATGTGCTTCAGTTTCGAAGGGCGGCCATGTCCCACTTCGCTGCGGTATGGGACTTCCTCTCCGTGACAAAGAAGAGACGTGAGTGGCAGGCCCGCTTTGAACTTGTGGTGGCTTGCTTTGGAGGCCTCTTGTTTCATACTGACCTCACTTCAAAGCCGTCACCTGTTGTCGGGGCAAGCGATTCGTCAATGAGAGGAGGAGCGGTAGGCATGAGCACCGGCTTGACAGAACTTGGCCGGGATTTCCTTAGATATGAAGAAGACGCTGACCGACAAGGGCTGACGATTCCCATCTTAGTAATCTCATGTTTTGATGGCATAGGTGGTTGCATGAGAAGTTACAATGTGGCTGGGGCTCGTCCAAGACTTTACGTCAGCATTGTGAGATCCACAAGCCGGCTCGTCGGATCACAAACCGTAGGTGGCCTGAGATCATCGAAGCTGAAGACATCACTCAAGTCACTGATGATGACATAGTTGGCTGGATCAGTAGGGCAGGCGCCATTGAGGAGATCCACGTTTGGGGCGGCTTCCCTTGCAAAGACCTCAGCGCGGCTAAGCATCGTCGCGACAATCTTCGAGGACAGCATAGTAGCCTTTTCTTTGAGTTGCAGCGGGTCTGGCAGCGGACGAGAGCACTTGCCAGAGGGAAGAAAGTTTTCCTGTTTGCCGAGAATGTCTGCTCAATGGACGCCGCGGCTCGGGACGAGATCTCTCGAGAGCTCGGCATGTGGCCGTTAAGGGTGGACAGCGAGGCCATGGTGCCCATGAGTCGGCCCCGTTTCGTCTGGACGAACCTGGAGACGGTTGACACTGAGAGCATGTGGGTTGAGGAAAAGAGATGTTTTTCGCAGGTGCATTTTTTGAGCAATCCCGTTGACAGTCTTGCGTGGCTGGAGCCAGGTTGTTCTCAGTTAGAAGGACCCATTGTTTATCCTACTTGCATGAGGGCAATTGTAAGGGCGAGACCCCCAGAACGACCGGTCGGTTGGTCACGTTGTTCAGATGAGGAGCTCATGAGGTGGCGACAAGACCAGTTCCGCTTTCCCCCCTATCAATACCGAAACTGTTACATGGTCGTAAACCAAGCCACCGGAGGCCTTAGGTACATCTGTGCTTCCGAGCGGGAACAATTGCTTGGATACGGATGGGGACATACCTTGCCCGCATTCAGTGCGTCAACTGCGAAAGGGTCCAAGAGGGCCTATGAGGACGAGAGGCTTTCGTTGCTAGGAGACTCTTTCCCTGTGAACAGCTTCTGGTTCTTTAGCGCCCAAGCTTGTCGACGATGGATTCCCCTTCAGAGTGCACAGCATTACAGAGATCGGTTAGGACTTTGGCCAGGAGCCTGCACCCACATCAGTCGGACAACCCCCCTGGGCACGTTTCGGCCGTTCGGTTCGTCGCTCAATGAATGTGTTGAAACGCAGCTGGAAGAAGAGCGGCTCGTGAGGCAATTGGCTAGGAGGAGCAGTCATAATGGATCAGATATCAGGATTACTACAGGCACCCCCACAAATCCAAAGGTCTTTCCGAGGCAATCCATTCCTAGTGAATTCTGGAACTGGCGCATCACATTGAGTCGAAAGTGGGACCATCACGAGCACATTAATTGTCTCGAACTACGTAGCATCCTTCTTGCTTTACAGTGGCGCTTGTCTAGGATAGGATTGTGTGATCAACGTGTCCTGCACATCAGCGATAGCGCCGTGAGCATTAGTATACTCAGCAAGGGCCGGACCTCGAGTAGAGCCTTGCAACACGTGGTCCGTAAAGTGGGGGCTATTTTGCTGCTCTCTAATGCTTCCTTGTTTAATTGCCACGTAGACAGCTGGGATAATCCCACGGATGATGCCTCCCGAGCTTAGCCGATGAGGATTTGATGCCGTTGAGAGGACAGACGAAGGTAAAGAAGCGGACTCAGGTTCAGAGAAGGGCAGAGCGACGGGGCTTGCGCCTACGGGAGCTGGCTGTCAAGAAGGCAACGCTGCTGAGGTACAAGAAAGCTTTGCTGAAAGGACTAGATGCATGGGATTTCACCACGAACTTCACTTCGATCCCAATGTTGGATCTCGACATTTCAGATTACATCGAGTTCTCCTTTGAAGAAGGGGACTCCATCGGGCATATTGGAGATTTCCTCTGTGGCCTGCAGATGTACTTCCCGATGGTCCGCAATAGATTGAGCAGCGCTTGGAGGATGTTTAAGATCTGGAAGAAGCATGAAAGGAGGCTCCAAGCTACGCCCATTCCTCCGTCTTTATTGCGAGGACTATTAGGCTTTTGTCTGCAGAGGGGACATCTTGTGCTCCTCCTCCTGTTAAGCTTAGGCTACTTCGGCCTGTTGCGCACAGGCGAACTCTTAGGTTTGAGACGACAGGACCTGCAAGTTTGTTCCGATTGTGCTTTGATCTTCCTAGGAAACACCAAAGGGGGATCTCGAGAAAATAAAGACGAACACATAGTGATCCGCCAGCCTCAGGCCATGTCAGTTATTCGGGCCTATTTGAGGACGTCAGGGGATCCAGCAGATCAGATCTGGAAGACCAGCGGCCAACATTTTCGGTCCTGCTTTTCAGAGCTGCTCCATCACTTTGGGGCTGCAAACCTTGGCTTCAGACCTTATAGCTTAAGGAGGGGAGGAGCCACATCCTTATACCGCCAAGGCTGGCCAACTGAGAACATTCTCATTTTGGGAAGATGGAAGAGTACCTCCAGTGCTCGTACTTACATAGACGATGTGCTGACGCAACAGGCCTCGTTGTGCTTCTCCGCAAAGGTTCAGGCAAAGATTGCTTGCTTTTCAAAATACTTTCCTTCTTTCGCCTAAGGCGAGTGGCCCTTGAGGGTCCAGGAAGCGTGGAGTGAGGTGAGTTTTGAAATAATGTATAGATTTGAGTCGTTGTTTTCTTTCTGAGACTGCAGTCCAGAGCACCCAATGGTCATGCCACATTGACCTGAACAGGAGGAAAGGGTGCAAACGGCCATGCCACATTGGCCGAAGAAGAGG